TGTATTAAAAGTATAAAATATCAATGTCTAATTAATATGTTTTCGTGTATGATTGCACTAAAAGTTAAAGAATATAATAAAAATTAAATAAAGCACAATTATTTTACAATTTAAATGAAATAATAAATACTTCAATAGGTATATACATATACAGTCTAAACAAAACAAACACTAATTTAGTGAAATGAATACATTGTGCTTAAAATCCTACTTCAATAAATTAAACTAAATAGTTGTGATTTGATTCTCATGTGTTTATTGGCTTTTAAATGTCGATCAAAATCTAGCGATAAACAAGTGAAATGCTATCATTAATCTGAAGAGATCTAATAATATAATACACTATGTATCTTATTTACATCTTATTTATAATGGTGTTCAAACCTACCATTTTTCCCATTGACACATCAGTGAATAACATAAAAAACTAATCCAAATATATTTCATGAAGAAACCACTTATTTTAGAAACCATTATTATATATTGCTAGGAAATATATTATAAGGTCATATATATCTATATTAAGTGAAGTTAAATTCAACTGTGAAATTTCCAAACTTCAAACTGATACCATCGAACTTAGTTCGCCAAACAAAGTCATTCAAAATGGGATACCGCACTTGATTTAATTATTGCTTCAACTTATTTGTAACAGAATAGAATCCTCCACTTATTACTTTATTAGCTTATCATCTGAGATTAACTTACTGAATTTTTCTATCTTGTGGTGTCACAAGCACTAAATTTAACACTGAGGTAAGTGTACTGGAGTTTTTTTCCCAAAAATAGCTTCACGTCTCAATTCTGTTTAAAACATTTCGTTTCACAATAAAGTGAAATTATTCAATTACGATTTTTCTGAGTTTCAGTATATATTATCATCTTAAATCTTAAATGTAGATATTAAAAACCAATAATCAAAAGACCTAAACTTATTAGAAAACAATAAAATATATTTGGTCGCTTATGTAAAATATTTTCGCTTTTTATTGGTTTTACATGAATAAAGTTTATAGTCATCTTACCATTTTTATCTTCAACACTTTTAGCATATTTAAACAGATTTTGAGTTCAAGTTTCAGTATAAGTATAAGCACTAGGATCTAAATACATCCTACTAGCCACAATCCAAATACCTTGAAAACTTATGAATTAAGGTAATATTGATGCTGTCCTGTTATGTTCTTATGCCCTGTTAATATATTACATGATAATACTGACAATTAGAATATCGACTTATTGATCAGACCAGCGACGCATAATCCAGCACGAGCAGCCTAGAGTCAACCCTGAATTCTAATTGATTCTACGAGATAGAAACTTCTTGCCTAACCCAGACGGTTCATTATAGAACACCAATATCATTCTTCGCTATATGAATCATGTGTTTCAATAATGAATAGTAAAAATATGATAATTTCGATTTTGTGAATATTTCCTTAATAGATATGAATAACATATTTCTTCTTTGGTGATATTAAATATGAATGGCATGTTATTGAACAATAATCATGAACAAATTTTAAAGGTGTAATAATACGGTTTTAAGTTACAAAATAACAACAAGAACAAAACAAGACTAAAACATATTTCAGAAACTAATAAGAGTCAAGGCAGGATAAGAGGTTTGACGTATCATATTTGCATGCAGAGTTCGCGTTTGAATATGTTGGTTGCCAAAGCCTCAGCAGTGCATAAATTTTGATTCGAACTTTCTTTGGTTCAGTCCATTTGCTTGTGTTGATTATCTTGAATGAAGACGTCTTTAAAGCAACGAGTACTCTTTTGAACTGTCAGTGTTTTCTCAGGATATTGTTTTGGTGTTAAGTCCCCATCACCGAATGTAGGTAGATAGATATATCTGACGAGTATCTGTCGAAGCTGAAGTAGTTCATCATCTCTTGTGTCACGAAAACATAGTTTTCGGTGATAAAGAGTGAATTTGGTTTCTTCTTCTATTAAATGAGACCCAGTTGTGGAAAAGTTGGTGACTTTATCTCGTTGGGAGTAAACCATGAAACTAGGTTTCGTGTTAACTGGGACTCATCACAAAGGTTTGCCTGGAGTCTTACGGGATTGTGTTAAGTCGTCTTCTCAAAAGTTAAGGAGTTACTTTAGATATGGCTTCATCTTTCATGTGGTTGGAGCTGCGGTTCATGTTCTCAGTGGTTACTAGCTCGAAGACAAGTACTGACAAAACAATGGGGAGCAAACTTACTTCGGAGACTTAAGTATTCCTGTCTCATGGAGACATACTGTTCCTGATAAGATACTTAGGTTTCAACTTACTATCTACCTCTAATTCCCCAATTGTTTTAATGTTCTTCTGAAGCTTACGTAAGTCTATCTTGCTTTATATGGACCTCCAGATCTTCGAGTCGTCCACAGAGTTTGGCGCTGCTGAGTAAATGTTGTCTATAAAGTCATCACTAAGGATCAGGAAAAGGAATGGGCGCAAGATGGTTTTCTGTGAAACTCAAGGTGTCGAGACTCTCCTGCTTCCGTGCACTTTAATTACCTTGTTTTGAAACATACTGTCATCTTGGTAAGTTAAAAGCAAGAACAGAAGCTGGTCAGTAAAACCAGTGGGATGTGTAGTAATTAGACGGACAAATTGGCGAATTCGAGAAATATAACATGGACCGGTATATGTTAGTCCTATCAATTTATTCAACTGTCCCGTATAACGTGAAAATTTGATTGCTCATGAACGTCATTCCTGAGTCCGTGTTGCGCTTTGCGGAGGACATTCTCATGGTTCATGTATTCCCTCGTCTGATCACTAACCCGTTATTCCATTGTCATCAAATATATTATGACTAATAGGGTTTTCCTGAAGCACTTTGCGTCTTTCCTGAATCCAAACTTGACAAATAAGAAGTTCACTAATATCATCTTTCGAATGGTTTCAAATAGTTCTGGGTGTAAAAGGGAAGCTTTCGCTTGACGGGCTTCTGTATCTGGCAGCAGAGAATCAATGATGCCGCAAAGTATGAAACTAAGTATATCTAACGATAAAAGAGAAAAAAGTTTCGGCAAATAATAACGAGAGACCGTACTCTGTCCTTAAGTATATATCAAGTTTTCTCATAAGAACTTCTGAGAAGTCGCTTGTACTAGCTCAGCTGGCGGCGAATCACATTACATTAGACCACTTTTAAGGAGTAGATTGTGTGCCCACGTTCCGTTCCTGATGGTTACCTGTATTGACCTCCTTCAAAAACTGGTGTAATATGAGCCGACGTCCAATGTTCTGGTGCCGTGCCTCGGTCTAGCGTACACGAGAACAGGCTAATTAATTTCATTAAGATTGGAATCGCTTCCCTCAATATAGCGGAATGAACCACACCTGGATCAGGAGAAGCGTCCTTGATTAGGTGCTGCAGTTTCTGATACACCAAACAGCGTTCAGGTTCACTTCCAATAGTTATGCTGAACTGAAGGTGTAGCTCAATTTCAGTCACTGTTCTTACATCCTCATCTAACTTCAGCAAATAACGGGCAAGTAGAACAGCCTCTACACGTCCAGTGTTAGTTAACGCTACTCGAAAGAGTCCTGGGTGATTTAAGTGCTTGGAATCCCTCTCCGCGAGTTAATCGTGTAACGGTCAGGGGACACAATTTTGAGGAAACCCAATCACCACGACAAGATAACAGCTACGTTCAAGAATAACTAGAGTATAAGTAGGTTGGTAAGAAGACAAGGGTGTGGCTGCATCGCGGTAACCAATTTTGGTTTATATTATTCAGGGTAGGGGAGTTGTGTTTAATTGGCATATTTGGGTCTCTCATGATCTTATTAATGGTTACAGATATTAGGCATCTTAGTGCCTTAAGACATTATCAAACGTGATTCACAACCAAAACCTCAAAGGCAAACCCAATGGTTTTTTCCCTAATGTAGGCATTAGGATGTACTTTAAAATCTTCATTATCTTGATTTATACGTCAACCAATTAGTTTACTTCCTATTAATGCGTCTTCATTGGATTTTCGTTCCGTTTTGCCCAATGGATTATTTAGTGGAAACATTTATGCCTTTAAACTCATTAGTTGATCTTTCTGCAGGACCTGAGCAGCTCAGCATTTACGACGGTGACACTCGATCCTTTTTAACTCTGTGAATGCAGCTGCAGCCGTCTAAAGAATTTTTGGGGAACACAGTTGCATTTGGGGAGCTCGTGATGGGAAACCCAAGTTTGCTGAGAGAGTATAACAACGTCGATGACATGGCGTTGCCAATTTGTAGTATATCCTCAGCAGTGTTGGTGCATGTTCTATCGATACCAATGTTGTCGAAGACCCTCTTACTTAGTATACTGAGCATGTTTGTTTGTTTGTTCGTTTAAGGACTGCCTTTATCAGGGTTGCTGACTTTTTCGTACACTTGTCAATAGAAAGATTAGGCTCAGCAAGTCCTAGGCATTAATGTTAAATGTGCCCCACACTCAAATAACACCTGGCTTGTTAAGTTTCTTGTAGGCAGTTACTGTAACATCTGTGAGTGCTTGGTGAAGGCAAACTTTGTTTTTGTCACACTACATACCACAGGTGATAGTAAAACAACATCCAGGTCGCTTATATGAGATTTTCATGTCCATGGTGAAACGCGAGTTGCTAGATTGATCCTAGCAAACGTTTACGACTGCGAAACAAAACACAAAACACTCAAAACGAATAAAATATTTGATTCAAAACTTTGAGATATACTATCATCGACGTGTAAAACTATGAAGACCAAATAGTAAGTTAGCTGTTAACTCATGTAAAACTCAAAAAGAAATGCAAACTACCGAACGTTAAGGTCGGGATAGATTTTTCGGACTCAAAACGTTGTTCTTGTTGTATAATGATGCAGCAGATGTTTAGTAAATGCAAATCAATTTGTACCAATCTCCTTGATCGCAAAGCGCTCGTATTCGTTTATATAAAAGAACATTTCGAATGATAAAAACTTAAAGCAAAGGTGACGTACCAAGCTGCGAAACATAAATTTATTCAAAACAATTGTTTGAGCAGACCTTGAAGGCGGGAAATTCGCACTCAAGGTTTTGAGGTTAGAATGACGTATCAACTGTCAGGATCTACTAGCAGTATATATATATATATATACATTAAGCCAATTCTCTGTTTAATAACCGTTAGATCATTACAACCAGGCTATTTGATGAGGCACTCTTGTACGCTTCATCATAATGCAGTTCAACTACTGTTGTGAGGCAGTCTCATAGGTCCCGCAATTAAACAAGTCTGTCATCCAGTTTTCGTACATTACCTTCTGCAGTTGAGTTAAGGTTGATTAGGAAAACTATACTTGCTCATTTAATTAACGCAAGATAATTGACGAATTCGAAAGCTCGAGTTACCTACTAAACTTATCACATGGCTTACATGTACGCTTTTTGCATCCACCTAAACTCGCTTGGAGTCGTAATAACAAGTAAGACCACTGGACAAAAAAGACTTGTATGACCTTTCTACCTTTGTCACTATATATTATTCTGGGGCAGGTTACAGTAAATGTACTCACTATTTTTCCAAATTTACATAATTGTAACCCTCGTCTCCTCATATTCATGTGACTATGATCGGTAGTCGAGACCTGGAAAATGTTTCACCGATTCTTGTACGGTACTTTGTGTAACCAGACGATACCGTATCAAAATGTTTCAAATCATCCACAAATAATCATTCTGAATATCAACATCATTATTTTTTCTCTCCTGTAATTCACTTCCTTATTACTCTCTATTTCATCAACGAAAGATTAGTCACTTTAAAAAAGTCCTTTGGATTTCAACAAATAAAGTGTAGTTTATGCTGGCAATTCGTTGACAATACGACGAGAACTGTACTTAACCAATATTCGTGAGTGCTAATCAGCTAAAAATACTCTGAAATCAGCCTGATTCACAAAAGCAGACGACCAGTAGTGAGACCTGGTTTTTGAGGCTGATCTTCTTAACAAGACACTCCCGATGGTCTTCATTGTTCTTTATTGTAGTTAATAATTAATTGTTTTGCCTTATTGGATTTATTTAATGAGGAATGGCAATATGTGACCCAAGAGAGGTTTGCTTTGGTGCCGGTAGTCTAATACTTTAGGAGGAAGCTCAAGTGCTAAGATCAATTTTCGATGAAGAAGAATTGTCGATATCAGACGATTATAATTTGGAATACAAGGTTAGTTTTACTTTTTTGAAAAATAATTATTATATAGGTAGGTGAGGCGGGAACGACTTCTTCATTCATTGTACAAGTTTACTGGCCTGAAGGATATCCTGACGTTCTACCTTGTATCTCTATGGATTCTTTTTATAATCATCATATCCCTGTAAATGTTAAAGAGAAAATAACTGAAGAATTAGTGTCTGTTGCTAAAGACCAACTTGGCTCAGCTCTAACATTTACTTTAATTGAGTACCTAAAGGAAAACCATGAGCGATTTACTAAATCTTTTGCAGTTGATAAAGTAGATACATCACAAAACAATTCGTTCCCGAGTGAAACCCCATCGGTATGTCTAAATTGTTTGACATTTTTATACATTGTTTATATAGGTTTCTCGCAAACAGAATAAACTACCTCAATTATCTAAAAATCAAAAAAGGAAGCACCTAGATAGACTAGGACAAAGTGGAGAGTTACCTAGAGGTTGGAACTGGATTAGTGTTATAAAACACCTTCAACAAACTGGATCGGCGTCATAGAGGCATATTTAGTTGCATTTCATTGCACACAAGATAAGATTCTATTTGCTTTCACGTTTCATATTCATTGACAATGGGCTAAAATGATAACGGGGTTATGCGTTTCTGAATAATGTATTTTACTAATTAAATGTAATTTACAAAATAGTGCAGGATGCTTTTTTGAAAGGTGTCAGAATACGATTTAGTATATTACTCGTCGGTGTCCTGTTGTTATTTCGGATATGCACCTGTAAATAGTACACTTCGTTAAAACAGGAACTATACCTTCATATTTTTCGCTTGTTGAAGTACTAGGTGCAATAGGATTTCTGCATCTAATAACAGAAGCCCCCTGGGGAGTATTACATAATCTTTTCATCCAATGTAGTAGTATGATATTTCCATCAGTAGTTTACGTCGTATTAAACGTCGTTGGAAGTAATACGTGTATATGCAGTTAGTATATATCGTATGTGCCTCAGAAGTATTGCTTAGATGTGGCGGAATTGTTGAATAAGTGATCGAAACATGAGGTAGGGATGCCTAGTTATCGCTTTGACTGATGTAAGAAAAAGTTGTAAAACGGTTACAAGTTGATAGTTCAAGATATTGGCTCGGTTCATTAAGTCGTTGTATATCGTTTCCCTTCATGGGATTATGCGGGCCATGACCGGCGTACCCACCATTAATACTTGTAATTTGAATCTATACTTTCAATGCTTTTCCCTAGGTTATATGCTTTACCTTTGTCCTCTGGTGCCGTTTCTACCCCCTTTTGACCAATCATCTTAAAACTACAGGCGAAATAGCACAGAAGTTACTTCATACTCAAAATTCCTTATTGTATGAAGTATGGAAATGCTAGTCTAAGATCTGAAGGTTTGTCAACACATATGCGCAATTGACTTCACCTCCTCCTTTCTGTATTTCCATTACGAAAAACAAGTACTGTATATTTGACTGACCTTTAAAAGCCTCACATTTTACAACCAAACATGCACTTACTCTATATGTCTTTCCCCACTTCTAAGTCAGCACACAGATAAACGCAAGTATCTTGCTCTTGTTGTTGTAACTGCTATCTCGTTTATGAAACTTCTTTTCTGAACGACCGGAAACTTCTATACAGACCCTAAAGTTATCCTAAAATCCGAATGATTATATATAATGATGAATTCCATACACTAGCGTTTTCATGGTTCTTAATAGGATTCTTTGGATTAATCTAGATCCTGATTTTAAGAATAAAAACATCTTACCAACTCATATACCACACGTTTTATCTATATAGACTATCTTGGTTCGCAAAAACGTGAATTATCTGTGAGGAAAAACATTAACTTGGAAGATAAGGCTAATTTCTTATAATAACTTAATAACTCGTGATTAAGAAACGTTTTTACCTAGAATAAATCTTTGGTAAAATTAGATAACTGTCACTAACAGTTCATTTACATATCAACAGCTACAGTCTATTTGCTCAAACTAAATTGTTAAAGGTTAGTTGAATTGATCTAGCTACCATCAAACATCACACTGCCTTTGAAAATTTATTACCATAACACAGTAGTTTACTAGGTTCTATCACATTAAATTTGAAAATTAGTTACGTCACATTTGTAACTAAATATCAAACTTGGTGCCAGTACAAAGATGTTGAATATATCTTGTGGTCAATGTGTAGAAGTAACAGTAGTTTCTTTCTGGGCTTGTTATAGCTTTCGGTTAATCAATATAAACTTATCATCTAGTAAGTATTCCCGACTCTTACTGCTATTATTGTATTTTCAAATAATTTATTTAGAAAATTAGAACGATCGCATATATAAAAATATAATTTCATCGACAATATTTGCTTTAAAATCAATGTCTCATTCTATGATTTTAGATTGTGAGATCCAACTAAATAGGCTTGGCTTTAATCAGGTCTATGATTTTTTTGAGGATGGCACTGTGAGTTGGACCATCATGCAAACCGAGGAGTGAAGTAAAATGATCTTCATTTGACATGTAAAACGTTTCATAGGTAAATTGCAAATGTGAACCCTGTCCACTTCTTGATGCATTACTCAACAAGTCCGCTAGGGATTTAGATTGTTCCTTCATAGCTGGTGATTCGTACTCTGCCCAAGCAACAATCCAATGAAGTGATTTACTGAGCAGTAGATTTGGACCGTCTTGCATGAAGTGTCGGATTGGACTGACAGACAAAGCCTCCCCAACCGTTTTGAACTTTATTGCTTTATTTACGTAAGTGTGGATAATTGGACGTAGGTCATAAACTCCTGACATTAAAACAAGGTTTTGCAAACAGCATAGCCAATTATTGTTTGATTTGAGTTCCATATGAGCCCAATATAACATTTCCAGAACTAAGTGCGCACCGGCAGAATGTCCAACTAGGGTTATGCGGAGCTTCGTATAATCTAAGTTACCAAACATTTTATGCGTAAGAGTTATAACTTTTTGCATTCCGAGACATAGGCTTTGTGGCATCGCCTCCAACTTTTCTTTTGGAGCTAACCTGTAAGACAAAGAGACGAATATACTGTCAGCATTTGTAACAGGAACTGCCCAACTACTGGATTCTTCCCAACCAACCAACTGCCAGTACCCTCCATGAACATAGACAACAATATTGGTTGGGATTATTGATTGATCACTTGGAGGAAACCAATCTAAAGCATACTCTCCGTATCCGTCTTCTTTAAATAGCATAGATTCATTAAACGGAACTTTAAAAACACCTTTGTCTTTAAACAACATCCGTGAAAGTTCACTTTGTTTGCGTAAGAGAGACATAAGTTGTCCTCTCACATCATCTCCAAGGCAAAATGGCTCTCTGGTCTTAATAAGCCAGTTTGCAGTTCTGTATTGATAATCCAATTCATCAACAATTTCCGGTAATTGGATTTCTGATGGATCTTCATCTACAGTACCCATGGATTCCGTGCTAATTGCCTAAAAATAATGAACGAAAATTCGACTTACTAAAATCCATAGCTCAATAAATAAAGAGGTTAGATGGTTGATCTTAATGTATTCAGCGTTAAAAAAACCACCCACAGAATGTAAACGTCTCAATGTAACATTAAATTCCTAATATATATTATAAGACTAGGTGGGAAACACTTACCAAATCAATAGAAAAAGTCCGTTAAAAACCAACTGTAATTCAAGTTACGTCTCACTATATTTCAATTAGAAAAACCGACCTGATGAAGGTAAGTTAAGAAAAAACCATGTTAATGCTGGCTGAGTAGTCGATTTCAGATCAGTCGTCACTAGTGGAAGTACCGAAAAAAAACATGCTACTGATATCGACAGATATAAGTAGTATGTATCACCATTCAAAAGTGAAGTGCCGGGCGGCAGAAAGTTAAGAAGACCGAAGACAGCGAGGACAAAAATGATTGGTACAGAAACGAAGGAACAATGAAGTCTGAGACAACTGATTGACATTTTGCAATCGAAGTATTCACTGTATGGCTCTCAGATTTCACTACGACGTTCTGTAATTTTGCGTCCAAATACATTCAATAGTCTCCACTTGTGTTTTCGTATATTACATTTGGTGTCGCTGCCAATCAGGAGGGGGAAAGGTCCTGTATGACGCCATTTACATTTTATTTGCAGTGACAAGATATTCAAAATTAGTTTATGTATAGACGTTAGTAGGTATGACGTATTGTAATAGGCTATTGCGCCACATGTTCGTGAATATATAATAATGACGAGATATAAGGGAAAAAATTAAACATACTTTCCCTAAAAATGAAAAAGACTCACGGGTTCCGAGAAATAAATTTACGAATGAAAAACAGGGTATAGATAAGCTATTAAATTTATTTGAAAAACTGGTTGACATGACATAAACGAAAGTTTGTCTTAAAATAATTATCACGAATTCAGCTAGAATTGTATGAACATATGTAAGTGACAAACATAGGTTTCATTCGTCAATGCTAAATAGTCGACAACAACAGGGAGTAGTCTTCATGTGCTGGAATTTCTCGGATTCGGAAAGAGACACCGTCTCCTTGACTAAAACCGAAAAAATAATCGTTAAAATGATTAATAAGTATTTAGTTGATTTAATAGTATTTGTTATCATTGGGTTACATCTACTGGAGGATGTACAGTAATGGACTTAAAAGTTCGAGCACCCAACTTTCGATCTGTAGGTTGTGGTTTCAAACATTACTTACATATACTTCTGTAATCGAGTAGTATCGCTGATGGTCGTGTACAAAAGTTGTTGCTGCCTTGAGGTGGTGGTCGGGCTTACCTATCGTGATGAACTAGTCAAGCTATACTGGCTTGAACAATCGTTCCTCAAGATCCCACTATGCTAGACACGTCGGTTAATGAGCGGTAAGACTGAAAGCAGCAAACCCAAGGTCTGAGGGCGAAGTCGTACTACTGACTGTACAGAGGTGTGACAGCAGTAAGGTGTTTCCTTCAGACAACCAACATGACAGCGATGCTGCCTTCCCACAAGGAGGGGTGGGGCCAGAAATGGTCGACCCTAAAGATGCACACCTCGCCTTATCCCACGGATACCCGTCTCCGGCGGTAAGGTCTCAACAAGTACGAGCTAACACAAAAATTACCCATAAGAAGGTCGTGTGTGACCGACCTCAAGTAGTTGTCCCTCGAGCATTACGGTCACGCTCTCAGGTCACTAAGACCACCTCTAATTCAGTTTGCTTTTCAGGTACCTCTAGAAGAACCCTTCCACGATGTGGGCAACCGAGAAGTGATAACCACCCTCATACCTCTAACAGCACTCAAGACCACTGTATTCATAATCAACCTCCCCTCTTCAATTCCTATTATTCCTCCTACATCGACTTTCAACTTCCTCTTTTGGCTTCCTCCTGAAGTGTAGCTATAGCCAACGATTCTAGTGCCCAAAACACTGTCCCAGGTCTATTGAAACCTCGCTCCAAACTACACATTGGAGCCTTCAACGTACGCACCCTATGTCAAATCGGTCAGCAGGCTTCATTGGCTAGAACCCTAGAATCTCGTACCATTGATGTATGCTGTGTCCCCGAAACACACATACAGGATCCCAGTGTGGTCATTCACTTGACCTCACTTCGGCAAAACGGAGAGCTGACGAGATACACCCTCCGTGTATCTGGTGACCCGACGGCCAGCTCTCGTGGACTGGCGGGAGTAGGGATAGCACTAAGCATGAGGGCGGAACAAGCA